AAATGCAATGTGAAAATATTTTTAAGATTTTCAGATAATCAGTAACATTTTAAAATTTTTATTTCTTCTTTGTAAGATAACAAGAACCACAAATTTGATTTGAAAAATGATTTGAGAGTAAGAAAAGACTTGTTTTATCTTGCCTGAGTAATAGATTTTTTTTCTTTTGCTGAATTCTCTGCGTGAATAACAAGAGTGGCAGCCATTTTCTCCCAGCTCAACATCAAAACCCCTTTCATCTGCTGTCTAAATGCAAACAAAGCAAACCTTCCACCAGGCCTTTCTTTCCAGATAAATTAAAACTCTCATGTCCTGGGGCCTAAATCAAGCCTACAGGCCTTCCCTAGATAAATCCGCTCTCAACCTGAAATCTTCTTGCCACACGTGCTCCTTGTAAGATAATTTTGCAGTAGCTAATCAATAATGCAACACTAAATTGCATTTAAATAAACATTAGCAGCCGCTCTTAATGAATAAAACCTCATCTGTAATTTGTCAAAGTCAGAAATACTGGACTCTTTTGATATTCATTGGAATATTGGAAATTGGAGCTTTGACAGGTTTTATGTACATTGCAATTAGTATTGTGTGTGTGCGTATGTGTGTGTGCACTAAAAATAGGCTTATTTTTATACATTCTGGATTGAATATAGTAGAACATACAACAGTTTCTAGACCGGTATTCATATGTATGCTACCACCCTGGTTAAAAATATATTGAGATAATCCTGCTTTCCATTGCAAATTATGAGGCAACCAAGTTGTGTGTACCTCATTTGAATTTCTGACTTTAGATGAAAAAACATAGAATTTTTTTTTTCTGAAATGATGAGGAAACTATTTGATTTGATATTACATCTATCGGTATTTTTATATTTTACTGAAGAAAGTCATCATTTAAGGAATTCTGGAGTAGTTATGGAAATTAAGAGAAAACATTGACTTTCAGGCTTAATATTTTAATTTATAAAAATCATTTTCTAAAAAATAGATTTTCAATATAGGTTATGAATGTTATAACAGGCTTAATAAGTATAATTCCCTGACATTCACTTTCGCTCTTCTACAGAATGCTGACTTAAGAAAAGTAAATGGTCATTATTTTTAAAAATACTTTAAACAAGGTTAGACAAAATGTTAGACATATGTTTGGCAAAATCTATGAGAAAGAATTTAAGACTACATCTATGCATTGTCATAACCTAAGTTGCCCTGTGATTAAAAAAAAAATCATATTTAACATCCTTTTCTAGATCTTAAATGTATTTTTACAGAGTAGAACATACATTTATAGTTACAATTAAGACAATTTAAAATTATAAAAAAGTGGTAACATTTTATTTTATAGGAACATCAAAACATTTAGTACTGGAACAAAATGAAATAATATTATATAAATATTTGCTTAAAGAAGAAAGCTGTTATTTAGGAATATCATTAAAATTGAAGCCTCTTTAATTTATATATTCTCTATATTACATCATTGGAGTAGAAAAACAAATGATCTTGTTTTACAGATGGAGAATTTGGATGTCAAAGAATTATGAGTTACTCAGTGAGAGCTACACCCAAGAATCAGAGTTCAAAATTTCCAATCAATTCTAATACCATTTTCCCAATTCACATGCCAAATGAACATTCAAAGATTATGACCAACATAGGTTAACAACAACAAAAATAATTTAGACTAAGAATGCATAGAAAAACCAACAGTGTCATTGTGACCCCTTAAAAAAATCTTTGAAATAGTCACACTTTAATGCTAATCGTTAGTAAAGACATCTCCAAATGACATGTTCAAAACAATTTAATTTAAACATGAAAAGATGATTAGTGTTCTAAAATGTTAACCTTTCTATCTGCCCCAACTCACAGTAACAGGTATTCTAATGTGCACCAATGGCATTCAATATGCCAGGCATCAAGAGACATGTCTATTGCAAGCACCAGGCAGCAGAGGAACGTATGCTAAAGTGTGTCCCACTCAAAGTTTAAGAATAACTGGTGATTCAGACAAGAAAACTTTACAGTGGGAAAATACTATGAACCAAACAAGTCTAGGTCTTGCTGCAATAAGGGGTGTCCCTCTTAACTTCTGGAGAAGGAAAATGGATGTAACAATACTTAGCACAACATAAAAATGGGAAGCTCTAATTAACACTCTGTTAAAATAATTTTAAAGGGCTCTGTAACCTTATGCGAACATCCTGAATTTTATGGTTGAGATAGAAGTAACCTAAAAAGATTTGTACTTCTGTCAAATATTTTTAAAAATTAATATTGTTTAAAAAACACAGATTTCAAATGTAAGAACTGAGCTGATAAAGCTCTTAGAAACACAAGTAAATTTTTATAACCTTAAATTGCATGATGTTTTCTTAGATACGAAAAAAAAAACCACAAGCAAGGAAAAAGAGAAGTAAATTTGAAATCATCAAAGTAAAAACCTTTGATTGTTAGGGGACACTATCAAGAAAATAGAAAGACAACCTACTGAATGGGTGAAAATTTTTAGAAATTATATATCTGAAAGGGACTTGTAACTAAAATATGTATAGAAATTTTACAATGCAATAATAAAAAAGCAAATCATCCAATAAGAATATGGGTGAAAGATTAGACAGCCACTTCACCAGAGATACACAAATAGCCAAAAAGCACATGAAAGGATATTCAAGATCATTTGGCATCAGGGAAATGAAAAACAAAACCAAATGCAGGGCCTCCCCGGTTGCGCAGCGGTTGAGCGCTGGGTTGCAAAGCTGCCTGCAGCCTCTGCAGCACCGGTTCGATTCCCGGCTGCTCCCCGGCCACCGGAGGAGGGTCCCACATGGCGCGCAGACCTCTCCTGCTGCCCGCTGCTCCCCTCGGCAGTGTATTTCGGTCCTTCTGCCTGCTCTGCTCCCTGCTCTGGCTCTGGTGAATTCTCTCACCGTCCAGTGCTTCTGACTGTACCCAGTGCTTGTATAAATAAAATAAATAAATCTTTAAAAAAAAAAAATGCAATAGTCCTTTCATGCTTACTAGTTTGGTTATAATTAAAAAGACAATAGTGACAAGTATTGACAAAGATGTAGAAAAATGGAACCTACATAATGATGATAAGAATGTAAAATAGTATAGCTTCTATGGACATTTGGAAAATTCCTCAAAAAGTAAAACATAGAGCTATCATATTACTGAGAAATTCTACACATAGATATATACCCAAGAGAAATGAAAACACATGCCCACCCAAAAACTTGTACACAAGTGCTAATAACATTATTCAAGTTAGCCAAAAAGTGTAAACAATTCAATTGTCCATCAACTGATTAATAAACTAAATATTTTATATCCATATTTTGAAATATTATACAACAATAAAAAGTATTGATACATGCTATGATATGGATGAATCTTCTACATTATGTCAAAGTCCTACACACACATGCAGACACAAAAATTTGAATAATGTATGATTTCATTTATGTTAAACATCCATAAGAAGCAAATCCATACAGACAGAAAGTAGATAAGTGGTTTCCAGGGGCTAGACAGAGGGGATAACTGGAGTGATTGCTAATAAGACGGGATTTTTTTTGGAGGGGGTGGTGGGAGAAAGCTGATGAAAATATTTAAATTAGATATAATGGTTGAACAACTGTGGTTTTTTATCAGTAATGAATCTAGAAACCCAGATCTAGCCAAGTATAAGTATTTAGAAGCTTGCAGTTAAGTGGAAAAGCACAGCAGTCAAACTGAGCAAAACCCTAGCTGCACCACTTACAAGCTATATGCCCAATTATTAATCTCTCTGTAATAAAGTTTTCTCATCTATAAGATGGGTTATAATTATAATACCTACCTTATGCAGATTGTGATGAGTTCTAAATGAGCTAATATAGTTAAAAGGTGGGCAGCATTTCAGAGATTTGACATCAGATTCAGAATGCCATGGCATTTACCCTGGTTTTTTAGTTAAACACATTAACTTGTTGCCCACAAATGACTCCAGGCCAGAGGATACCTAGTTATTGAACAAGCAATTTAACAGGGAAGGAAGGAGCATATCAAACATTTCTCATAGCAAGTAGATCATATATACCTTTTATGATATCTTAGGCATAGCTATGGGGAAACACTTTTAGCAGATTTCACTAGTTGTTCCTTAGGTGACACAAGTCACTAAAAACAGAACCAAATTTTACCGAAGGCAGCTCTGCCTCACTCTAAATCCATGGCCTTTCTATTATACCATGTCACTCTTCAGCAAATTCATCAAAAGGCTCTTTAAGGAACTAACAGGGTAACATTTTAAGCCTAACCACAGTTCTCCAAAATTGAAGCCAACCTGAGTCACAGGTGGGTGACTTCAATAGAGGTATATAACTAATTCTTCCTCGAGCAAGGGAAAGAATCCCCTGAGGATTATCAAGGATAGATTACGGAATTCTGCTGGGAGTTAAAGACTTGGCCTCCTGCACCAAGTTTAGTAATTGAATGTCTTGGATGAACTCACTTAACTTGTGGGTGCTGCATTTTTCCCAACTATGAAATGAGAATTACCAAATGAAGAATTTGGACCTTCAAACTCTCACTAGGTAATACAGAGAAGCTTCTCTGTCTGAAATTTCATAAATATCTATAAGAACTGTAAAGTGAAATACTAGGCATCAAAAAGCAAATTTAAATGACCTAAATATTGGATAAGTGCAGTATTTTCAAAATTATCTTAATGGTAAGGACTTTCTGTTTCAGGTTATTATAATTAATTTCTCATTTGGACAAAGTTGCTTTGTTTCTCTAATCCAAAATAAAGCAATGACACATTGTAGGGTAAGGAAAAATGTCAGGTTTTTCTGCCCTCCCGCTATCAGGATAAATGATGGATCCTTGTGGTCCTGAATGCATGCCTGATGGCGGGAACCTGGAATAGGGTGTGGGCATAGGTAGATGGGATTCACCTGGGCTAAGACTGTGCTTTTTTTTTTTTTTTTTTTTTTTTTTTTTTTTTTAAGGGCGGTGTCACAGGGACGCTGGCAGAAGCGAAGAAGAAGCCAAAAGAGAAGCCGAGAAAGAAGCAGCAGAAGCCAGAAGAGAAGCCAAGAGAAGGCCGGAGAGCCCAGATAGAGTGAAGACTTGCTGGGGGCTGGGAGGACTGCCAGCCTCCCGGCCCCCCAGCACCCCTGCCTGCCGTATGCCTGGTGAACCCCAATAAAAGACCTGCATAAAACCACTGAGGACTCTGATTCCTCTTTTACCCGGTCTGCTGGATCAGAAAACCTGCACTGTGGTCTTCTTCCCCCTTACACACATTTTATATAGTTACATTATCAAGAAGCAAACAAAATATTCAGCCATCAATAGTACATATATTCATCTCTGACTAACAATGTGATTATTTCTAGAAAAGTTACATCTCATGTAGAGACCTAAATTTTGAAGTATGAAATCTGTAATAGAACATTAAATAAAGGTCTAAAAATAATGGTAAGTAGTATGCAAGTCCTGATGGACTCAGCACTTTATAATATTGGTTTCCATAGAAATTGAATCAATAATAAATAATCTCAGAAGTAACAAAAGGGCTGCTGATGTGTAGGTGGTCACAGGAGAGCACTCTATACATCTACCCTCAGCAAATTAACGTTAGCACTTTTCCAAGTTCTTTTATGGAGAAGAAGGAAACTTTCTCCTACCTGTTTTTTATGGGTATATTCTATGGCTTTTATCTAGAAATTATTGGATATAGTAATTTTAGTTGTTCTTGGGGCTAGTTACTAACAAATCAACGTTACTGCTGGGTGACAAAATATACTGATAGATTATCAATGGAAATGCCCCATTTTCAAATAAAATGTCTTCAATTATGTGATCTATATATTTCCTATAAAAGAGTGCTAGGAGCAGTAATGAGAAATTCTTGATATACAGGCAATATTCCAAATAGAGTTTCTGAGGGCGCTGGGTATGTCACTAGCTCTCATCTCTCAGTTCCTTTAATCTCCCAAGCATCTTGGTGAATCCACCTAAATTCCACCTAACGTGCACAGGAGTCTTCTTGCCCAAGTCTCCTTATTCCAACCATTAAGCTTTTTCATGGGAAGAAGGCATTTGGTGACCAGGGACCGGTAATAGAGCAAAACAGTGGCTAGAGATACTCATTGGAGCCTGCAGGGAACAGCTGGGGAGGCTCTCGCCCTGAAATGGAGTGGGGCAGCTGGCAGGCTCTCTCTTCCTCTTTGTTGATTTTTTTTTTTTCTGTGCAGGGTGACATTCCCCACCCCCACATCATCCTTTTCTTGAAATCCTCTTTAATCCTCTTTTATAATGCATGCCTCTTTGGTGGGACAGAACTTTTCCACCTAGCAGAAGCGCCAACAAGAACCAGAACTGTGCTTCAACCTTATTTTAAAAAATCTGAATACTCTGGAGTTTATGCAAACCAAATGACCTGGGTTGCTCTGACCGTACTGATAGCCTTTCCATTGGTTCTGTAGGTTGTTCCCAAACTGTCCCTTCATCCATTTCACCAGCACTTAAATCTTTCAGTAGATAAGTACAAATTTCAAAAGTAAAAATGGTGACTAAAAGTATGTCTTTTATAGGAAATCAAATTCTTTTCTTCCTAAGTCTTCTTAAAACATCCTAAATTAATTCAGTAGTTGGTTAAAAAAGAAATGGAGGCCACTTATGGATATTCATTTGAAAATATTCCCTTTTTTTCAATTTATTATACCAACCACTTTAAAAAACTTTTTTAATACAAAGTTTCATGAGTCATTCTTATTTTACATGAAGCAGTGACATACTGCATCACTGGTTTTGCTAGTGAATAATTGACTAGTCAAATATGTTAAGAAATTGATGCCTATTAAACATCTTTATAATAGTATGCATCCTCCTTTAGGTTTAGGGCTATTTATTAATTTATTTATGCAGGGCTTCTCTGTGCAGATGGGACATCCCTTTTCAAGGGTTGTCTTGCATAGTAATGATGAGAAGCAAAACTAAAAATAACCATCACACAGAATGATGACATTTTTCTCTTTAAACAACATTAATTAGACAAAGCTTGTCATACTTTTCTTAAAAAGTATTGGGACTACAAGTAAACTACAATTAAAAAGAATATTGAATAAGAAAAGCTTGGCTCTGATCAAATTATTTCACCTTGTTGGACCTCAGCTTTCTTACATGAGAAGTAGAAGTTAGATGAAATGATTTCTAATGTCCATTTCTCATTAAGAGACAGGTCTCATCCAAAGCAATGGAAATGATTCCTTTTGTTATCTGGCCTTGACTTGATATGAAAAAGGAAATGTGTCTATATGTAATTAATACAGCATTTGAAATGGTCTTTCACAACACTTGAATGATAATATACTAAAATCTTAAAAACATTTGCAATTTAAGAGGGCTCAAATAAGTTTACAGCTTCAAGGAAGCTTCTGTATAATATTTCCAAGAGGAAATTAGGGTTGGAGATTCATTGCTTTCCCTGGTTATTAAAGGGATGGGTCTGCACTCATCTGTAGCAGTGGAGTCTCACGCCTATGTGGGATATAGATTTGCAGATCTGCATTACAATGCCTTACACACAACCTTTGACATTCTATTAGGATGTCTTTGGAATTAGACTCTTAGAACAAAGATATGGTTCCTAATTTATTCATTGCCTTTTCAAAAAAAATGAAAGAAAAGAAAAACCTTTGGATGGTAGAGAGGTGTAGAAATTATTTCAAATCAGATACTCCTTTTTATCTTTAATAATGGTTTCTCCTTGAACCATAAGCTTTAGTGTATCTAGAATGTCCTGAGGTTACCAGGATACAAAATTTCCTCTAAGATAATTAGAACTCCAATGCTGATTTACTGAAAGAGGTCAGATACTAACAGTTTCCTTTATCTAGTTCTACAAACACCTGAAGATTAACAAATATCCGTGTTTACTTTTATAGAATCATGAATTTATTAATTTATTAAAATTCTTATTAATTTATTAAAATTCCTCTAGGAAGGGATTAAAAAGAGAGATTTTATTTTATCAAAAATACAGAATAAAAATGCACAGTGTGGAGAAATGTTTCTTTGTTCTTCTAAGATTTAAAGTGTTTGTTAACATGAAGGTATAAATGGACAGTGTTCTTTTACAAGGCTAAAGTAAGATTTTTAAACTCTTTGTGAGTTGTAAATATTATGATACACTTGCATAATGTGCAGTTATCAAGAATAGGATGATTCATTCAGTACACAACATAAATGTAAGTCACTAGTATTGTTAAAGTCCACTACTCAGTTTATGGTCACAAACACAAGCAAGACTGTGAAATCACAGTGACGGCCCCATTTTGCCTGCGTCAACTAGACTTCTTTCTTGAGCCATATTTGAGTTCCTAAATCACTTAACAGCTTCCCAAGGTGAACCAGGTACTTCACCAATTGCTTCATTTATTTCTGTTCTGTCCTCTTTCCATATCACAGTTTTTGAGGGGATGAGCCAGTGTTGGGATTTCTATTGGTTTCTATTGGGACCAGCATCTAGCAAGGCCCAGAAAATGTATCAGTGAAGGAAAGAAAAAAGGGAGAGACTAAAATATACACACTTAGTAAGTTTTTAGCATAAGGCAGTTATCCTCTGTGAGTCAACTAAGAAGAATGTAAGTATTACTAGTATTACAGTGGCCTCTTTAGGCTAATAAGCAAATCCATCTCCATCAATGCCATGATGTCATAAAGAAGCAAAACAACTTCATCAGTTCTCCTGCAGTGGAAGTGTTCATGACGTCAGCAGAAGGCCTCAAGTCATTGATAGTATTTTGTTTACTCTGGAGCCATTTGATATGTATTAATACATGCAGCAGCAGCTGTCTCTTTTGCAAGAGAAGTGTGCTCACATGAGTTCTCTCACCCAAACTGAGAACATAAGCACACTCTAATAGCAAAAGAGGCAGCTGCTGTCGCATGAATTAATATATTATAAGTTACTCTCTCATGTGTTATTCTTTTTTAAATCCCATTCTATTTTTAAAATAAAAATATTCAAGGTCTTTAAAGAAATGAAACTTCTACAGAGAAGTCTACATACTAGTAGACAGCATGAAAAAAATCATGTTGCTTTTATTGTATTTTAAGGATCAATTATTTATGTATCAAAATGAAAAAACTTGAGTATTTATTATTTTTAGAATTGAGGTGTCTTTGAAATGTTCAAGCAGCAAAAGAGATAAAAAGGGTTCTTCTAGTTCTGATATAAAGCAAAGAATACATTTGTGCTCAATAAGCTTATGTATAATACCAGAAATAGATTAAGATTAGTAATTTACTCGTCACCTTCTCAACATAAAAAAAACCTATTTTGCAGATAAATATTAACATTTATTTTCAATCTACTCATGAGTTAAGAATAGTTAAATTTAATATCTGTCCTTGCAAATATTCACAGAACTAAATTAATTTAGGGATTCCACACTAAAAATATAGCATTTACCATTCAACAGTCAAAAGGGTTGAAGAGTTGATTTTTATACTGTCTGTCAGCCACTTTACAGCTCAGCTATATCTATATGTACACAGATATATCTGTATATGACATGCAAAAATTACTAAGATAATCAATGCTATGTAATTCCAACATTTCTAAACAATCAATATACTTAAGATGATAGAATTTTTTATTTTGTTTGGGGTTCACTTAGTTTAATTTATCATCTGCTCATTTGTTGTTTTAATAAACTGGTTTTTAGAAAGCAGGAGAAATTCTTTTTAGACAAATGGAAAGTTGGTTCCATTTCCTTGATTCCTTTCAATTTCATTTTATAATTTCCTGTTCTTCTCAGCGCTAAGGTTACATTTCCATTTTGTAAATATTGTACTGTGTGAATCTAATACTTCTAATTTTATGCAGCATTTTATTATTGTAAAATATCTGCAAATGAGTTTTCTGTTTATCTAGGAATCTTAAGTATTTAATATCTTTTTTTATGTTATGCTAGCTCTGTTAACAATATGGCTCATTATTTAATTCAGAAAGAATTTAAAAGGTGTGAGGTTTGTAACTGAAAGTGCTATAGTGATTTGCATTGACCTAATTAGTTCATTTACATGCTGACCTTTAAAACCAGTGAAGTTTTGTAAACCCAACTTGTGGTTATAACTACCCTAGAAAAAAGATGAGCTGGGGTGAAAAAATAATCAGGGTAAGTTTAATTTTTAAAATATTGATGATAA